CACCTCTCCGACCTCGCCCAGGTTACTCACCATCCCCCTCCACTTTGAATGTCCTTCTGAGGCTGAGATGTTTCCTCTGGTCCAGGAGTCAGGGGTTACTATAGCCTGCAACTGTCAGACAGAAATATAATCAAGTCACATATGTAATTCTAAACTTTCTAGCAGGCACACGTAGAGACTGAATAACGGCCACCCTCAGAGCTAAAGCCGGGACGCGAGTCAGTCACCTTGAGCCGGGCGAGCGCTGTGGTCTGAGCAGGGGCAGCAGGGCAGTGGGAGTACAGACTGAAAAAAACGCGGACCACCGGGGCACTACTCATTTCTCCTGCTCTGATCCGCTCTTGTACCAGGGGTCTGATCAGGCCTGTGTCTGCCTCCTTCCTGAGTAGGCCAGAGATCCCATCTGTACAGCCTTCCTGCAGCAGCGGCCCACTGCAGGTGGCCCGGCGGGAATCCCAGACCAGTGTTGTCTCCCGGGACTTGGACACAGCTGCCAAGTTTATTGGTGCTGGGGCTGCCACAGTTGGTGTGGCTGGTTCAGGGGCCGGTATTGGAACAGTGTTTGGCAGCTTGATCATTGGCTATGCCAGGAACCCGTCTCTGAAGCAGCAACTCTTCTCCTGTGCCATTCTCGGTTTTGCCCTGTCTGAGGCTATGGGGCTCTTCTGTTTGATGGTCGCCTTCCTCATCCTCTTCGCCATGTGAGGCTCCGTGGAAGTCACCTACCCACCCCTGCTGCTTCGACTCCAGGCCAGGCCCCGTGCTGGAGTGTGCTAACCTTTACCATTAAACACAATGTTTCTCTAAAAAAAATAATAATAATAATAATGGCCACCCTCAAAATATCAAGTCTTAACTCCTGGAAATTTCCAGTGTTACCTTATTTGGAAAAAAGATCTTTGCAGATGTAATTAAGGATTTCACAGACAGATTACCCTGGATTATCTGGGGGGGGGGGGTCCCTAAATGCCATCTTAAGTGTCTTTATAAAACAGAAGCAAAAGATAACACAGACACGGACTTCCCTGGTGGTCCAGTGGTTAAGAATCCACCTGCCTAGTCAGGGAAGATCCCACATGTCGCAGAGCAACTAAGTCCATGAGCCACAACTACTGCGCGTGCGCTCTAGGGCCCACGAGCCACGGCTACTGCGCATGCGCTTTAGGGCCCATGAGCCGCAACTACTGAAGCCCACACACCCTAGAGCTGGAGCTAGCACGGACGAAAGAAGCCGCCACACTGAGAAACCCCGCACCACAACTAGAGAGTAGCCCTTGCTCCGCAACCAGAGAAAGCCCATGTGCAGCAGTGAAGACCCAGCGCAGCACCCCCAATAGATAACATAGAGAAGAAAGCAAAGACAAGACAAGGCAGAGACTGAAGAACGTGGCCAGAGCCCAGGAATTCCAGGGCAGCCACTAGAAGTTGCAAAAGGCCGGGAACCAGTTCTTCCCAACGACCCAAAATCCAGCCTCTAGTCTCTAGACTGTGAATGACTACATTTCGATGTTTTAAGCCACTCGGTTTGTGGAAATTTGTTACAACAGCCTCGGGAAACTAATAAGTGAAGTGAAAGTCGCTCAGTTGTGTCCGACTCTTTACGACCCCATGGACTATACAATCCATAGAATTCTGCAGGTCAGAATACTGGAGTGGGTAGCCTTTCCCTTCTCCAGGGGGTCTTCTCAACCCAGGGATCGAACCCAGGTCTCCCGCATTGCAGGCGGATTCTTTACCAGCTGAGCCACAAGAGAAGCCCGGGAAACTAATAAGGTACATCTACATCTCAAAAAGTGAAAAGAAACAGGTCAAATCAACTTTGCTGGTTTATTTTATTTACCCCAACACCTACAAAATATTATCAACATGTTATCTAGAGAAAAAGCACCAACGAGATATTTACGTTCTTCAAACTAAGTCTTTGAAATCTAAATTTTATTTCCCATCTATGTATGTGTGTTCAGTCACTTCCGACTCTTTGTGACCCCATGGATTGTAGCCCACCGGGCTCCTCTGTCCATGAAATTTTTTCTAGGCAAGAATACTGGAATGGGTTGCCATTACCTACTCCAGGGGATCTTCCCAACCCAGGAAAACCACATCTCTTGCATCTCCTCCTGCATTGGCAGGTGAATTCTTTACCACTAGCGCCACCTGGGAAGCCCTTCACACTAATGACATGTCTCAGTATAGACCCGTGACATTCTTCATCCACCCGTGACTAATGTTTACCATAGAGGCTGGTGCATTTCCCCTCCTTTGTAGAGCTCTAGGCAAGCAGCAGCCTGGAATTCGGGCCTTATTTGTCTATAAGTCTCTGTTCCCTTGGACTGCAAGGAGATCCAACCAGTCCATCCTAAAGGAAATCAGTGCTGAATGTTCATTGAAAGGACTGATGCTAAAGCTGAAGCTCCAACACTTTGGCCACCTGATGCAAAGAACTGACTCATTGGAAAAGACCCTGATGCTGGGAAAGATTGAAGGTAGGAGGAGAAGGGGAAGACAGAGGATGAGATGGTTGGATGGAATCACCGACTCGGTGGACATGAGTTTGAGCAAGCTCCGCGAGTTGGTGATAGACAGGGAGGCCTGGTGTGCAGCAGTCCGTGGGGTCGCAAAGAATCAAACATGACTGAGCGACTGAACTGAACTGAACTTCCATGCTTCCACAGAGCATGCGTAGACTTTATGCTCGATGGGGACAGGAATCTTGTCCCATTCATCTTGGTATCCCAGTGCCTAACATCAAAACAGTCAATGAATGTATTTTGAATGAATGTGTATTTTGAATGGATTCTTGACAAGAAAAAAAAGCCCTGTAGGAAACTACATTTTTTGGTTGATTGGTTTTCCGTCTTCTCTAGTGAGTGGAGTTCAGGATCCATCAAAATATAGACTTGGAATCCCTTCTCTCAGAAGCGCAGGTGTAGACCAAGTTCTCCCCAGCAGCCAGGAAAATGCTGTATGTTAAGGCTAGAAAGAAATGCTGTGAATAGGCCTGTGTCTACTAATAATCTTCCAAAACTGAAAGCATCAGACCCAGATGGTTTATTGTGAATTCTACCAAACATTTAAGGAAGAAATTATACCAATTCTCTATAGTCTCCTTCAGAAGCTAGAAGCAAAGAGAATACTAGCTAATTCAGAGGCCAACATCACCCAAATATCAAAACCAGACTGAGACTTTACAAGAAAACCACAGATCTCTCATAAACATTGGTGCAAACATCAACAAAATACTAGCACATTGAGCTCTACAATGTATAAAAAATTATATAGCACAACCAAGTGGGATGTAGCGCAGGTATGCAAGGTTGGTTCAGTATTCAAAAATCAGTTAGTGTACTCCATCACATCAACAAGTGAGAGAGGGAAAAAAATCACATGGTCATATCCATAGATGCAGAAAGGCTGATGATGTCAGAAGATCATGGTAGTAGCAGAGCGAGGTGGGGATTAGGCAGAGGCAGGAAGGTGTGGGTGCACAAGATCTATGAGGAGGCTGAGGCTGGAATCAGTGTTCCTGAGACTGGCTTAAGGTAAAGGGAACAATCAAATGTAAACCAAGAGGGTCAAATCTGCCAAGAAAGATTGTAACACTCAGGCACAGGGTCATAAGCCTAGGGCTCCCAGGCCTGAAGAACCACTACTAAAGCGGTCCTTGCTGTCAGCCCCCAGGAACACAGCCAGGGCCAATGTGAGGACCACACCAATCCTGGCCTGACGCTTCGCCCCCCGCCCCATAACCTGCACCTTCCCCCTGAGAATCTTAGCAGCTGGCTGCCCATGAATAAGGCTGCTGTGGGCAGTGCATGCTGGCTTGCAGCTGCACACACCCCAAGGGAGGGGCATCATTTTCTTCATTCAAAGACACAACTGCTCACCAAGCCACGGGCTGCTGGCTGCGTGAACACCCAGAGACACCTTTCATTGTCTTTCAGTGATCACCTTTCACTGCTATGCTCAGCTGTGCTTCCCGGCCTCCCTTGACACAGGCCACGGTGCCTCCGTGAAGCCACAGAACATCAAAGACTTTAAGGCCAGAAGCCCTTCTACTCAGCATCAAGGGGGCACTAGGCAGCCCTCCCATCCACCCATCTCTAAGATAAGCCCCTGCTGGGATCACCCTGAGTCCCTGGGCTGGAGAGGGTACCAGCTCCCTAGCTTCCAACCAACCTGCCCAGAGGGGGCTTGGCTTTACCACTGTGCCCCTCCCCCACAAAGTCTGGATGCCCCCTCACCACACTCTGGGACCCCGACACAGAACAGGAAGGGAGCTGGAGCCAGGGAGAGGGAGTGTCTGGACTTTTGGACTTTCTGCCCTCACTCCCGCATGGAACTTCCACCAGAACAGAACAGTGCAGAGGGACAGTCTGTGAGTGAATGAATGGAGACCACCATGGTGCTGAGCCCCCTCTCAAAGCCCTCCAGACACGCAGAGCCTCTTCTCACTGAGTTAGAAGCCTATTCCCAGACTAAGAAAAAAAGACAAGATCTGTGCCCAGCCTGAGTCCCAGCAGGCCCCTACCCGGTACCTGAGTATAACCCAACTCAGAGAGCACAGAAGAGGCCTATGAGAAGGGTCTCCTGCCCCTTGGCATCCTGCTCCCCCAAAGCCAAGCCTTCACTCTCTGCTAGCTCTGCCAACCAACCCTGTATCCCTCCCCTGGCTGGCAGTCAGGTGAAGGGAACACCTACAGCACACTTGGTTCTAAGAAGACCCTGCCCAAGCAGAGGTTCCCCTGAGCACTCAGCGCCCAGGGAGGAAATAGGATGCTTAGGAGCCTCTCACGTACACTCACACACCAGGCTCCAGTGCCCACCAAGGCCAGGCTTCCCTTCCCTGCCTGTGCCAGCCCCACCTGAGCTGGTCCAGACAGGCGGGTGGGGCCTGTGGGCTGTCAGGCCACGTGTAGGGCTGGTGGGCCGGAGCGAGGGCGGGGTTGGCCGGCTGCTCTTAAGGCGGGGCTGGAGGTGAAGGGCGCCTCCCTTTACCCCTTACCTGGGCTCTGACCGACCGCCTCCCTTCGTCTGTCCCAGGAGCCGAGAGTGAAGGCAGGAGCGTCTTGCTCGCCCTGGACACCAGGTAGGCACCTTTGTTCTTCAAGGAGAAAAGAGGAGGAGGCTCAGCACCTTCAGCCAGCCCTTGTCCCCAGTTTTTCTCCTCTCCTGGGGCTCAGAGTGAAGGTGGAGACAGATAAGATGGTCCCGGGACCACAGACTGCAGTTCTGCACTTTGAGGGTACTGAATCTGTAGCCCTCAGTGTACAGATGAGAGAACCAGGGTCTGGGGAGGGGAAGGGGTTTGCCTGGGGTCCTGAAGACTTGGGAAGGGAATGGACCCAGAACCTGGCCTCCTGCCTGCCAGCCCAGAGCCCTCAGAGCCCCCCGTGCTGGGTCATTCAGAGGCCATCAGGAATCCTGGTGTGGGAGGGAGAGGATGGGCAGAGCAGGGCTAGGGAAAGGCCTTCACCGGCCCTGCAGGCCCCTGTCTGCTTCTCCAGGTCTGGGTGGGGACCACGGGATGATCAGAAGCCACTCTTTCAGCAGGGGGGTGGGGAGGGGATTGGGCTGGTGAGGTGAGGCACTCTGGGGGACACTTGTCCTCCCCTCTGTCATCCTCTCTCTCCACTGCCCTAGGCTTGTAGGAGGGAAAGAGTGAGTCAGGAGAAGAAGCTGGCACTGAAACTGACAAGGGGATTTGCCCAGGAATCAGGATCCCCTTGCCTCCAGAACCCTTGGGAACAAAGAAGGAGATTTGAGTCCCATGGGTGGGCAGGACCTATAAATAAGACTGAGTTGGCTGGAGCCCTCCATACCCACTACAGCCCCCAACAGGCACACACAGAGTGCTGAGCCCAGGGGTCCTCCCCTCACCTTTCGAGCAGGAAGGAAAGAGCTAGAGAAGTGTGCTGGTGGGGACAGAAGAAAGAGTGTCCAGGAATAAAGGAGTGAGACCAACCCCTGCGCTGGGAGGTCTGGTGGTGCTTCGGGGAGTGTCAAAAGTGAGAAGACTTAAAGAAAATCCCAAGGGGCTGCCTAAACTTTGCTCAATCCCATACTTGTCCCACTGGGTTCTAGAATCCCAGAAGGACAGAGAGAGGTGAAATGGATCTTAAATCTATGAAACAGTGGCACCAAGTGTGGGACTAGGAGCCAAGATGACCTGGGTTCAAATCCCAGTTCCACTATGGGTGCTGTGGGTTGTATGACCTCAGGCAAGTCCCTTAACCTCTCCAGTCCCACCATAAGAGTACCTTCTTCTAAGAACCATGGAGAAAACAAAATGAGTACATTTTAAGTGTCTGTTACGATTGCATTCCCATTATACAGATGGGACAACAGAGGCCCAGAGAGGAAAGGACACTTGGCCAGGGTGGCATAAAAGCAGATTCCAAACCAGTAGGCAGACATCCTGCATCCTAGTCCCGAGGGAGGAACCAGGTACCCAGTGCATTCCACAGAGACCACGACCCCAGGTGCTCTCTGAGGCACAGCCAAAAATCCTGCAGGGTGTGCAGAGATCCTGCCCCAGCAAACCCAGAGCACCTGGAGCCAAAGCTCCATGTCCTTAGCTGCCCCCAGAAAGGAGCTTGAAGGCCCGTTCCTTGTTCCCTTTCACTGCCATTTATAGACACGCTCCCCGAGCCTAAGATATGCCTGCCCCCTCCAGGATCTGGCCAAGGGGAAGTCTGGCGGCAGGTCTAGCAGGAGCCGTGGGGTAGAAAAGATTTTTCTCATTAACTTACTGTGTGACCTTGGGCAACTCACAGTCCCTCTCTGGACCTCAGGTGTTTCTCTGCATTTGAACTCCATGTGATAGAAGGAGTTAAAGGTCTAAAGTCCAGGCCTGAGTTTGGAACCCAGCTCTACCACTTTTCTGGATGTGTGGCCGACACAGATTTCTTAACCTCTCTGAATCTCAGTATCTTCATCTGTAGAATGGACTGGTAACAGGGGTGCAGTGCTTCCTAAAGTTATGAGAGGATTAGAAGAGTTATCATAGGGAAAGTCAGTGCCTGACACGTGGTGAGTTCTCAGTAAATGGGAGCTATTATTATTTATTGTTATGAAGGCATTATATCCTATATGAGCCCTGATTTCTAAGTAGTATTTAGAAATGTCCGATAGCTTTCACAAGCAGTATCTCACTGGTTCCACACCACCTTCTGGGAGGATATATAGCAGGAATTCTTATTCCCATCTCACAGATGAGGAAACTGAGGGTCAGATTGACACCTTAAGGAACTGTTTGAACTGGGGTTCGAATTCAAATCTCCAGACTCCGAAGTCTGCATTCATTTTGTTTGCCCCAGACTGGTCTCAATGACTTGTCCACGACTGAGGTCTAACTCTAAAGCAGAGTGTAATAGAGGCATTTTGGAAACAAAGAAAAGTGGAGTTGGGGAGTGCTGGGGCAGGGGGAAGGTGAGGCTCAGGGCAGGCAGTTGTAGCCCAACCAGCATGTCCCAGCTTCTTACAGTTTTCTTGGCAGCCTCTGTTTTGGAACCTCTTACCTCCTGTAAGAAACTGCTATCACGTAGCATTAAGGCTAGACAACAGGAAGAACTTCCCACAGTCAGGAAGCCTCGGACGTCTCTTTCCCAGATGAGCCTCCAGGGAGTGAATATCATCTGATGATGTCACTCCTAAGCTCTAAACTATTCTGTGGCTCTCCATTGCCCTCAGGGTTGAGTCAGCACTACCAAACCCAGCCTGCAAGGCTCTGTAGGGTCTGCCCAGCCTGCTTCCCCATCCCCAACCTTCCCTCCATTCACCCTAGGTTCTCTCTGTTTCCCAGATGCTCAGTAACGTCTTGTGATCACCTCGGTCCATCAGGCCTCTGCGTACACCTGCCTCCTCACCCTACCTGGTGTGCCCAGCCAGCTCCTGTTTTTCATCCTTGTCTCCCTTTACACGTCCCTTCCTCCAGGAAGTCCTCCCTGGCCTCCCCCTCTCCCCTTCCCCGTGCCCACTGAGTCCCTTCTGACTCCCCTCCTCCCCGATGACACTGTTGTGATTGCTCACCTGCTTGCCTGTCTGTTTCACCAACTGACTCACGCTGAATAGCAGCTAAATGCAGGGGCCCTGACATCACACAGCTGGGGTCCAATCCTACTCTGACACCCATTGGCCTGAAGACCTTGGGCAAGTTACTTACCTCTTTGTGTCTCAGTTCTCCCATTATAAAATGGAACAATAATAGCATCTACTTCATAGGGTTGTTATGAGGATTTTAAAAGGTTTTATACACCAGAGCCTAGGTACATATAATTATTCAGTGAATATTAGCTGTGCAGTGCTGTGCTAGGTCACTTCAGTTGTGTCTGACTCTTTGCAACCTCATAAACTGTAGCCTGCCAGGCTCCTCTGTCCATGGGATTTCCCAGGCAAGAATACTGGAATGGGTTGCCATGCCCTCCTCTGGGGGATCTTACCGACACAGGGATCTAACCTGAGTCTCTTACATCTCCGGCATTAGCACCTCCTGGGAATCCAGAATTTTAGCTATTATTTATTTTTAAAGTAAGGCTGGAACACAGTAGGTAGCCATCAAACATCTATTGAGGTTATTTTATTTATCCATCACTTGCATACTGCTTATTATGTACTAGGCAAGTTCTAAGTATATTATAAATATTAACTCATTCTATAGATGAGGAAGCCAAGGCACAGAGAAGTTAATTAACGTCCCCAACGTTGCACAGCTAGTAAGTGGTGGAGCCAGGATGCAAATCCCAGGCAGTCTGGTTCCAGCAGCCATGCTTTTTAATGAGTGAATAAATATGCCTTTGTTTAGGGGGAGGGGAGGCAGAGGTTTCATCTACAGAAATTACTCAGTTCCCACCCCCGGCTTCTTTCAGGTCCCAGGAGCTCCCGGTTGGCAAGTGACAACTGTGGGATGTGAGTCTGGCTGGAAGCCAGAGGTAAACCGCCAAGTCACTGCCCTCAACATGTCACAGGTGATGTCCAGCCCTCTGCTTGCAGGAGGCCCCGCAGTCGGCTTGGCTCCCTGTGAGGAACCCAGGAGGGTCCTGCACCCGGCCCCCAGCCCGAGCCTGCCGCTGCAGTGTCCCTACTATACCACGGAAGGCTGGGGAGTGCAGGCCCTGATGGCCCCCGTGCCCTGCAAGGGGCCCCCTGGCAGGCTCCAGCCAACCCCACAGGCTGGAACCAATGCCAGCTGCCTCCTGCAGGCCCCAGGGGAGCAGGTCTCAGGGGCTCGGGAGGACCTTGACTCCTACATTGACTTCTCACTGGAGAGCCTCAACCAGATGATTCTAGAGTTGGACCCCACATTCCAGCTGCTCCCTCCAGGGCCTGGTGGCCCCGAGGCCCAGCCCACCCAGAGCACTACCTTGAGGAAGAAGAAAGAAGAGCCTGAAGCCTTGGGTAAGGAACTGGGGCACAGTGCCGGGAAGCGGGCTTGGGGACCAGTCCTCATGAGGAAGGAATTTTCTATCAAGTCAGAGGAACACAGAACTATGTTCTGTTGGGGAGTGCTGTGTGGCTGTAAACAAGTTTGTTAACCTCTCTGTTTCCTCTGCTCTATACAAGGGATAAGTATAAGTGGTTCTCACTGTCCAATTCTATCTGGTTCTTGAGTTTGGAAAGTGATGGATACCTGTTTTATGTAATGTCTCAGAGAATTAAAATAAGCTAATACAAGTAAGAATACTATACAGTGCCATGCATATAAATAAGAGCTTGATAAATATGTAGTCCCTGAATCTTAGTCTTCTGTGGTGTCTCTCTTTAGGTTCTAACTTGGTCCCCTGAAATTTTTATAGGAATAGTATTTTCACCTCACCAGTAACAATAGATGTAAATAACTTCAAGTATAGACATAGTAAAATAATTAGAACATGATGAATTTTTGAGTATTTATTACTTTTGTTTTTAATGTCATTACATTGTAAATTTATATAGTTTACTCTTTAGTATTGCCTAAAGCATCAAACTATATTAACTTGCAATGTTTACATCATTTAGCAACCAGCTGAAAAAAATCTTGAAAATTTAACAATCAGCTTCTTTGAGCTAGTTCAAGCCAACTCCAAGATACCACCACCTCCACGATTGTCCAGAAATCTTTGCATCTGGCTTCAGTTTCCCAAAGAGTTTCAAGTATACGTTGAGGATGAGGATCGTGGAGCAGCAGCCCCATTAGACAGGCTGGAAGACTGAGGCCTCCAGGGGTTTAAACAATCAGTGTGGGCTAGGAGATACATGGAGGATTAGAGATGGGATCCAGGAGAATTTCTGCTTATTGAGCATTTATCATTCTACCCAGGCACTTGTATGTTGAGCAGTTAATAATTGAACCTTTGATAATAATAATTTGATCCCTTCAATCCACCTCCATGAGATGAATATTTTATCCTCATTTTACAAATGAAAAGACTTGGTTGATGGACTTGAGTGAAAAGCCAGTGTAGCCTAATCACTGGAGTCCGGCAAACCTTATACAGGCTGCTTATACTTCTTTGTATCTCAGATTCTTCTATAAAACAGAGATGAGTTTTCACCTCAAAGGGTGTTGCAAGGATTAAAAGGAATAACATTTGGTGGGTGTTTATCACAAATTCTGGGACACTATAGGTCATGATCGGTGGTGGCTGTTTATAGTCAACATTGGAGTTGCATTTAGGACCAGCTCCAGGACAGTTTCAGACCCTGGGGTGGAGGTGAGCCCAGCACCCAGATCCTCTGGCACCTAGGTTCCTGGGTTCTAGCCAGCCTTCTGCTCCTGCCCCCTGAGCATTGCCTGCCAGGCCTGTTAAATGAACCACCTCCATCCCTCAACAGTCTTTTGCTTCTTAAGGCCAGTCGTGGGCATGTCTCTGCAGGAAAGATAGCTTGGGCCTAATTATCACTGGCAGGAGCAAGCACAGGACTTTAATGCTCATGCCCCAAGGCAGGGCTTCCATGCATTCAAGGCCAACTGGGGTGAGAGCAGTCTCTGGGTCGGGTGCACATGTATGGGGTTGGGGTGTTGATAACAGGGCCCTTCCTCCAAGGGACCGATGGGCAGTCGTCAGCCTTCTCAGATGCCCTAGGCACAATCTGCCCTTGTGAGGATGTGACCACCAGACTCTTGGCAGCAGGGGGCGCTAGAGGGCAGCAGTGGTCCCAGGGTCCTGATGAAGCCACCTAGCTTCCCTTGATGGAATTTCTAAAAATCCTCTCCTCTTATCTCTGCCTGGACACCAGTGATGCCTGGGAGCTCACTACCTCCTAGCATATCCAGAGGGTCAGCTCCCTGTTGGAAAGTTCTCTGCCATCACAAGAATAGCAAGAGCCTGCCTGTCACTGTGGTGACTGCACCTCTCTCCCAAAACCGTCCCCTGAGACCACCACTCCTGGTGACAAAGCTCTCACCGGCCCACAGCCTCTCAGTGAGTTTCACCCAGCCAAATATATCCAGTGTTCAGGGCCCCTCTGTTTGCGGTCTCACTCGTCCTACTTTTGGCATGTTGAGTGGAAGATGTTCTGTAATTATGATGCTAGCAGACGTTCACGGCTTCTCTTTGTCCCAACTTGGCAGAATCAAAAGTTAAACACTGGCTATCCTATATCGATCCCTCCCTTAAAAATGTATGGAAGGATTTTTGTAAGCATGATCCCAGCGTCTACCCTTGGAAGGAAATAGTGGAAACCTCATTTACAGAGGAGAAGACTGAGGCTCAGGGAGGGTAAGTGGTGGCCACAGTCACACAGCTAGTGAGTGGTAGGTCAGCTCAAAGCCCAGGCCTCTGGGCTCCAACCATATTCTAACTTTTCTCTCTTCCTCGGAGCAAGTTTTCTGCCCTCCAGGGCTTCACTGAGTTTACACCACACACACCCCCCGCCCCCGCCTCCAGTTTCTCTGCCTCTGCCTCTTGCTGGCCTTCCTTCACATTAACCAGAGGTGGGCCAGGGGCGGCGTGGTAGGAGGGAGCAGGCTTGTATCCACCACCCCCAGGGAACACAACTTCTAGAAGCAAACACCATATCCCCGCCTCTGCCACCCCTCCCCATCTTTGGAACAGGCCCCCATTTTATTTTCCAGAATTTCTGCCAGGCAAGGCAGTTTGCCAATCCCGAGTGAAGGGTGTTTAATAACCGTCTGCCCGCCCCCCACCCACACNCCCCCACCCACACAGGCCCCCCTCCACCCACCCGGCCTGGTGCCGGCGCCTGCATCCACCCAGCACTGCTCAGACTTGCCCCACGGGCCTGTAAACAGCAACTGCACGCAGGTGATGGGGCGGGGGCCCCATCACCCCAGCCACATCCACCTCGAGGCCAGGCTACAGCAGCGGGAGTGACTCACGGCTCCAGAGCTCCTCCCTCCCTTCCTGCCCGAGTCTGCTTGCTCTTTCTCGTTCCCTCAGCTAGGCCTTTGGTCTCTCTTCTTCAGGCCGGGAGGCCCTCCCCAAAGCAGCTGAGCATCTACTTACAGGCAAGGCCTTGGCAAAGGGTCCCGAGGAGCCTGTCTCGGTGGAAGAGCTCCCTGCAGACAGAGCAGAGGAGCAGGGATCAGCTTCCTCAACCCTTTCTGTAACACTATTCATGTATTTGTTTGGCTGCTCTTAGTTGCAGCACGCGGGGCCTTCGATCTCCACTGCGGCGTATGGGATCTTTAACTGTGGCCTGTGGGATCTAGGGCCCTGCATTGGGAGCGTGGAGTCTTAGCTACTGGACCACCAGGGAAGTCCCTCCTCAATGTTTCAGAGCCTTGATTTCTCATCTGACATGAAATTAAGGATGTTTCCTACCTCAGTCAAATTGTCATGAGGGTTAAATGAGCTAACACAGGCAATATGCCTGTGGCAATGCTAGCCCACAGTGCTCAGTAAATACCAGCCTTTGTTGTAAAAGGCACAATAAATCTGAGCTCTACCCTTTCATTTCTCCGAGCCTCAGTTTCCTGCACTGTAAAAGCAGTCCCTGTGGGCCTAAGGGTGGTCTTGAGGTTTGAGAGGATTATGAGCATGAACACAGTGAAAGTGAAAGTGTTAGTCACTCAACCGTGTCTGACTCTTTGTGAACCCATGGACTGTAGCCCACCAGGCTCCTCTGTCTATGGAATTCTCCAGGCAAGAATATTGGAGTGGGTACCCATTCCCTTCTCCAGGGGATCTTCCTGACCCAGGGATTGAACCCGGGTCTCCTTCATTGCAGGCAGATTCTTTACCATCTGAGCCACCAGGGAAGCCCATGAATACCATAAAGACCTTTTTTTTTAAAAAAAAAAGTCGTGCTTGCCAACCTTGCAGAAGAATTGACCCCATTCCAAAACTTCCCTTTCAGAGCCCACAATACATTGTAACAAATATTCTCTCGCCCTCAGCAGTGGGACCGCCACCTTAGCCAGAGTATTAGCCAACTGGCCAATACTGCCCCCCAAAAGCAGGCGGGCAGGAGACGCTCTTCGAAGCCCACCATGGACCAAGCTCCAGGCCCCATTCATCAGTGTATCTCATCCTTACCAGAATCTTGGGAGGTTGGTTTTAGATCCTCACTTTACATATGAGGAAACTGAGGCTCAGAGCAGTTAGGAAAATTACCTGATGATTCTTGGCGGGAAAGTGGCAAAGCCAAGACTTACACCTAGGTTTGTTTGTCGACAAAGCCAGGCCTGTTCCTCCATCCCCTGGGACAGCATGCACAGGTTGACCTGCCAGCTTCCCCCCTCCATCTGATGCAATCCTCCACCCCTACCCAGCCCAAGCAGGCTCAGACAGAGGCAGTAACCATGAGCAGGGCCAGAAGGTCCTAGCCCAGAGCGGGCTGGGGCAGGCAGGGACTTCAGAGGTGGGGAGGGGGGGGTGGTTGGTGCATGCACCAGAGCCCAGAGGGTTGGGAGGCTGGCAGATGGGAGATGAGGGTACAGTTTCCCACTGACTCTGCCCTAGTTTTCATCCTGGGAAGCCAGAGGCAGGACTCACAACCCTCTAGAAGGGAGCAGCTCAATGACCCGAATCGTTCACCACCTTTCCCAGAACAGCACCTAGAACAGCTCCCTTCCCCCAAGTCAGAAGGAGAGGTACCCATCCCCCCTGGGGAGAACCAAAGGGCGCCCCACTCCAGGGAGGAACAAGAGTCCTAGGTGCCCCCACTGGGGAATGAAAGAGCATCAGAGTGAGTCAGCAGCCTCAGGTGCTAAGAGTCTACAGCTCAGTAAGGCAAGCAAGCCCTGCCCCTGGGGAGATCTCCATGCAAGTGAACCCTAACGCTGACTTGTCAAACTCCAAGGTGCACCCAGCTCCCCTGGAATTTTGCTAAAATGCAGATACTGATTCAGTAGGCCTAGGGTGGAGCTGGAGATTCTGCACAATCTTCCAGCTCCCTGGTGAAGGGGTGCTGCAGGGCCAGGGACCACAGCGGTGAAGTCCATTGCACAGTGGAAACACCTAGGGAGCTAAGCTAAAACCCTCAGGCCTGGGCCCACCCCTGGAGGTTCTGATCTAACTGGCACCATTGCAGGCACAGACATAGAAACCACTTTCACTGGCCTGAGTAATAGAGGCATCTCAAGATGTGACCGGTGCAGTCCTTCCGGCTGGGGAGCGGAACACACGTTAAAGAGAGGATCTCTCAGTTTTAAAGGGCTTACTATGTGCCCAACACTGTGCTGTGCCACCTACTTTCATCTCAGTTCATCCTTACTGTAACACCAAGAGGCTGGGTATAGCCATCCAATTCTACAGGCCTGGAAACTGAGGCTCTAGGTGGTCAAGTCACTTGGCCTACCTCTCAGAGAGCAAGGGGCAGAGCCAGATTTGAAACCCAGGTCTGTCTGACTCCAAAGCCCGTGTTCATGTCACTGTCTCTCTCCACCCATGGGCAGTTGTCACAGAGAAGGTGACATTGAAACTGGTCCCTGAGGGTGAAGCTGGAGGCTGATCCTGATTCCAACAAACATCTCCCTGGGCTTCAGTTTCCTCATCTGTATAAGAAAGGGTGGTGGTCCAGTGGTTAAGACTCCTCACTTCCACTGCAGGTTACATGGGTTTGATCCCTGGTTGGGGTGCGAAGATCCTATATGCCATGGGGCACAGCCAAAATTTTTAAATATATGTGTGCTAAGTCGCTTCAGTCACATCCCACTCTTTGTGACCCCATGGACTGTAGCCTGCCAGCCTTCTCTGTCTATTGGATTCCCCAGGCAAGAATACTGGAGTGGGTTGCTGTGCCCTCTTCCAGGGGATCTTCCCAACCCAGGGATCGAACCCACGTCTCTTAATGTCTCCTGCATTGGCAGGAGGGTTCTTTACCATGAGCACCATCTAGGAAGCTCCTTTAAATATATATATATGTGGGCTTACCTGGTACCTTAGACTATAAAGAATCTGCCTGCCAGGCGGGACCCCTGGGCACAGCAACCCACTCCAGTATTCTTGTCTGGAGAATCCCCATGGACTGAGGCCCACTAGGCCCCTCTGGCGGGCTGCAGTCCATGGGGTTGCAGAGAGCCGGACACGACTGAGTGATGAAGCCCAGCGCAGCACTCTCTGATAAAGAAGAGACCAGGTGGCCTTGAGGACCCTTCCAGCATCCTTGTTCTGAGAGTCCAAGCTCCCTGGTTTCACCGATGCTCTGCTTCTCTCCCCAAAGATATAAAGTACATCGAGGTGACCTCCACCAGGCCAAGGTGCCACGATGGCCCGCGGAGCTGCTGCAGCCCATCTGTCACCCCACCCTTTGGCTCCCCGTGCGCTGGCGGCCTTCTCCTTTCCAGAGACCTCCCCCGAGAGACCCGAAGCAGCAGCGAGAGCCTCATCTTCTCTGGGAGCCAGGGCAGGGGGCACCAGCGCCCCGCTCCCCCCTCGGCATCTTCCTCCTCTCACTCCCCAGCATCTCCCAGCATCTCCATTCCTGGCATGGGGAGTAAGACCTCAGGCCCCCATGGCTTGGGCTCCCCACTGGTGGCTTCCCCAAGCTTGGAGAAGGGGCTGGGGGGCCAGGGCCCACAGCTGGGCAGCAGGATCTCCATGCTCTCAGGCAGCCCAGCGTCTGATGTCAGCTATGTGTTTGGAAGGTAGGTAACTCCCACTACAGCTTCTGATGTTGCCTTCATCACACACACACACACATACACACACACACACACATCCTAAATCAGACATCCCGCTCTTTCTGAACAAAATCTGGGACTGTACCAAAAATAAAAATGAATGTTCTCTTTTATACCATTTGGCTCTCAAGCTTTCCTCAAGCATTTAGAGTATCATTCAATATAGGAAAATCTAGACTTCTATTTACCTCCTGGGAAAAGAACTACTGCATTAATGAGGCTCACCTGTATCCTGTCCAGCCCTCCTACAGCCCATCTGTAGGAAGATTTGTTTTAAAAAAAAAAAAAACCAAAACACAGAATATAAAGAGAATCATGGGTGCGGGAAAAGCTTCCTTCATCTTTGTTCCTGGCAAAACCTAGCAGGAAGGAAGCAAACCTGGCGGGGTATTATTTACATTCACCCTAGCCCAGTTCTCAGTAGGCTTCTGAGTAGAGCCATACACTCACACATCTTGCTCTGGAAGACCAAACCACAGGACCTGTGTCCCCCATACCAACTCCGAAGCCACTGTGCCCAGGCAGTCCCTGGCAAGGAGACTGGGATTCCACGGCCATGCGTTGGCATGGGCCTCTGAGCTCAGAGAGAAGCCTGGCTGGCTACAGAGCTGGCCTCTTTCTCTTCCTCCAGCTGGAGAATTCCCTCTGCATCAGTCATGGACATAGTCCAGCCCAGGTCCAGCCTGTGTGCCTGACTCTTGGGAATGCTTGGGGTGGGTGGGTAGGGAGGATGGCTGGTATGACAGGTTGGATCGCCTGGCTGGGAAGGCAGGGGGAACAGAGTCCAGCCTAAGCCATGAGACTTGCAGGGGGAAGCCCATGGGCTACTTTAATTAACCACAGACCCTACATTGCAGGTACACTCCTATATCCTTCAGCAGCCCTTAGGAGTCAGATGGGCTCTGGGGATGGGGTTGGGGGGGCGGGGGGGGTGAAGTATGCAGTTCTCTGACCAAAGCCATGGGCACCTACATCACTAAATTCCAGAGCCCAGCTCTGGCCCCAGAGAGTCCACTCCCACCTCCAAACACTCTGCCTTTCTGGCCCTCTCCCCCCTTGCAGCAGCCAGTCCCTCCTCCACTCCAGCATCTCCAGCCATCAGTCATCTTCTAGATCCTTGGAAAGCCCCAGCAGCTCTTCCTCCAGCCTCCACAGCCTTGGTCCAGTGTCCCCGTATATGAGAGCCTGTGACCTCCAGGTCCCCAGCAACGCCACCCCAAGCATGGGCCAGCCCAGAGCAACCCGCTCCCCACCTCTGGCCAAGGAACAAGCCAGCAGCTGCCCGCCATCTATCACTAACTCCATGGTGGACATACCCATCGTGCTGATCAACGGTTTCCCAGAGCCAGGATCTCCCCCATCCCAGAGGACCCCAGGACCCCAGGACTTTGTTCGCCCTGGGGCTACTTCCTCCAGCACACCCTGTCCAGCCCCCAGGAGCCACAGCCAGACCCTCCCAGAAGCCCCTCCCACCACATCCCCGGAGGGTAAGTTGTAAACCAATCAATACCTCACGCTTTGTAAGGTTTGGCTAATGGAGAACAGGCAAAGCACCAATGTTTCTTCAAGAGCAGGTCAGTACATTGATTAAGTACCTACTGTCTGCCAAGCACTGTGCCACTTAGTAGGGACACAGTCTAGAAGGAGAGGGGAAAAACCCAAAGGGTTACTGCAGAGTAGGATAAACACAGAAGTAAAGAGATGTTCTGAGTCTTGTGAGGCTACAGAGGAAGAAGTGAGCCTTTTTACCTGGAGAAGTGGGGAGGCCAAAAAGTGGATCAAAAGTTCATGGCCAGAGCAGGAGAGGAAGGGCTGCCCCAGCAGAGGGCCAGAGGTATGAAGGTGTGGAAGCACATGGCATGTTTAGGAAATGACTGGGATGTTGGGTGCAGGGTGAGGTCATTGGGAGTAACTTGGGGCCAGATTGGGAAAGACCATGAACACCAAGCTGAAGAGTAAACTTTAACCTTAGGGACCAGGAGACCCTCAGAGACTCTCAAACCAGAGAGTGATGGACTCAGAGGCGCATGCTCCATCCATCACTCTGGCAGCTGCACGGCAGATGAATTGCAGGGCCTGGCCTGGCAGGGAGAGCAGTTTTTACTTGGTTCTGTTTGGGTTTTCATCACGAAGTGGTCCAGGGCGAGGCAGAGGGTGGAGGAGAGTGGACAGAGCCAGGAGACCCTCAGGATATGGAAGCAGCAGGCTGGGTGACTAACCCAGGAGAGGGAGAGGGCGAGTGAGTCCTAACTCTGACGTTGGCGGATGACGAACACAGACAGGGGAAGGCCAGGGTAACGGAGACAATGCATTCCAATTCAGACAGCTAAAAACCACAAAACAGCAACCACCCTCCTCCCTGCAGTCAGCAACTACAGGCATCCAAAAAGAACAAAGCCAACCAGGGCCCAAAGCAGTAAACACAGGCTAACCCTTAGCACCCTGGGGTATCTCTCTCCCAGGAGCAGAGCCCTCCACTGAGCCCCATGGACAGGAGGCTGCTTGCCTGTGGCTCAGTCATCTCCTTCCCGGGCTCTCAGCGTGGCCACAGACATCAAGGTACTCCTGGGGGGTGTGAAATGCTCACTTTAGCCCACTGCTTGCTCCCACCCACGACGTCAAGTCAATGAGAACAAGAGAAAATGAGGTGACAAGTATGCTTTGAACATTTTCCTAGGACAAATCGTTTGCAGATATCAGTACATTTTTTATAATGAGTTATTCTCAACTGGCAGTAATACACCTTTTCAAGATGCTGAAACCGAGAACCACTGCTCTCTGCCTTTGTTGTTGTTGTTCATCACTGTGTCGAGTCCAACTCTTTGTGACTCCATGAACTGCAGCCAGGCTTCCTTGTCCTTCACTGTCTCCTGGAGTTTGCTCAAACTCATGTCCATTGAGTCGGTGATGCCATCCAACCTTTAGGGTCCCAGGGAAATGGGGGGCACTTTCACATCTCAAAGAGCACATTTATTTGGCCTGGTGATATCACCATCCGGAATTGGTGATGCCCAGATAATCACTCACTATCCCTGGAATCTTAGCAAATTCCGCAAAATATTCTCAAGACAACATTCAGTTTCATTTCCGAGTTGTTGGAGCATTAAAGACCCTCACGGGACTTCTGGTTCACTCAGTTCCCTCTGGGTTTCAACAGGGAAAGAGCCGTCCCAGATCAGAGCCCAACTCCATCTCCTGACTCCTGGATGCTCTTCTGCCCAGATCTGCTGTCTTCCTTTCCTTTCTCCTTTTCTTTCATTTTCTTTTGCAAACTGAACATCCCTCCCCCCACCAAGAAACTCATAGGATTATTAAAGGGGAAGAAAACATGAAATCAAGCAAATGATGCATCTCAGAATCTTTTATTTATCCCGTTTCTGTCTCTACTGCATAGTATTCAATTTGAGAAACTGTTTCTCATTGAATTGAGTTTTTAATCTATTTGTTTGTGATCCATTACCAAGGATACAAGGGTAGACTCCTAGATGGCACCAAGCTCCGGGATTCTTCTGACAGATTTTGCCCCTTTAGGGAGCTAGAGATACACTGGAGTAGGGATAGGGGAAGATGGGTTGAATGGGACCACTGGGCAGAGAAAGGGGAAGGTCTCTCAGTTTCCCTCTATCCGGCCTACAGGGTTCCCCTCCCCTGTCTGTCTCCAGGTCCTGCCAGGGACATGCAGCCCACCATGAAGTTTGTGATGGACACATCTAAATACTGGTTTAAGCCAAGCATCTCCCGAGAACAAGGTAAGATGAAGCCCTGATTCAGGGACTGAGTGACCCAGGAATCAAGTCTGGGTCCCATCACCCTGCATTGGGTAGATGGGACTCTGGGTTCATGTAGAGGAGGGAACGGCATGGCAAATGGCAGGTCCAGGGAAGGGGGTGTCCTGCGAACCCCATGACCCAAGGAAATAATGACTGTAGCAGGAACGGTGCAGGTTAGACAACAGAAAGGACTTCCTGGGGACCAAAGGCGATTCTGTACCATCTGCTCTATGAGGACCCACTGGGGCTGAGGCAGGGAGGGTGTCCCGGTGGGATGGTGACTGTCTCTGACCCAAGGATTGTTCCAGCCATCGAGCTGCTGAGGAAGGAGGAGCCGGGGGCTTTCATCGTGCGGGACAGTTCTTCATACCGGGGCTCCTTCGGCCTTGCCCTGAAGGTGCAGGAGGCCCCCACACCTGCCCAGAGCCGACCAGGTAGGCCGTCTGTGTATTTGATCAAGGCCTCTTAGAGGCACCTGGGTTGGGTGGATTCCAGTCCCAGCTCTGCCGCTCACTTGCAGGGAGACCTTGGGCCTCCCATCCTGGGAGGATGGACCTTGGTCTCCCAGTATTGAGGCTCCCCAAGTCCCCAGACTCCTTGCTCTGCCCCTGGTGGGAAGAAGAGGAGGGTCCCAGCCCCCCTCCAGCCTGCTCTCTTCTGGTATCCACCTCTGTCCAGCCCAGCTTTCTCACAAAAGATTGTAATGTAGTAATAACATGTGAAAATGAGACCTTTTTGGTTTGGTCTGTTTTTCTCAAATAAGAAGTAACTAGTAACATTTTACATCAAGTTTATAAAGTTTGATTTTTTCCTCCATGAATTCAATTTATTTTTATAAGTAA